TATAAGCTCATTTACTAACATTTGAAGGGAGAATAGCTGACCCGAGTCTGGTTTTCCAGGAAGAGAATATAATGAAGATTTTGCATTTACGTTGCAAAATCTTCTAAGTGATGATGTTTTTATAATAGGGAGCATGTCGTGAATGGCTTGCCCTTACTCATGACCTCGATGGACAAGAAGACGTGAAGGGGTGACCTCAGTAAAACTGTATATACAAAAAAAAAGCAGTTTTAGTTAGTGGAACAATTGAAGACTGCCTTCAGTGAAACTTAACATCAATATAAATGCTATAATGCCCTCCTGAGATTGGTAAATGGCATGAAACATCACTTATTTTAAGCTATATAAAAAATATAGCTGATACTTTGGCTATAATCAGACGTGGTCTTATTCCAGTGGGAAACTTTTTTCAATACTTTTTTACTTATTCGATGCTTTTTCCTGAGTAGGTAAATCAGGGAGTGAGTGAGTTACTCCTTATGTTTAGATATAGACTTTCTAAATATATATTTTTGGTTCTCATTGTTTTTCTTAACGCCCAGTAACGGCACAAAGTCAAAGTGGTTTAATTTAAGTGAAACACACTGTATGAAAGTATATATCACGTAGACCACCATAAAAGTTTCTAGGATGTTATTTTAGAAATATAACGTTTATGAGAACAAAAAAAAATTACTTTTAGACAGAAAAGTACATTGAACATTAGAAAAAAAATTTTAGATCGGAAAAGTACGTTCGACATTAGAAAATTAAATATAGAGAAAATTATTTTTACACCGAAGCAATGCATTATATATTAGAAAATTACTTTTAGACAGAAAAAGTGCATTATATATTGGAAAATTATTTTTAGACAGGAAAAGTACAATATATATTAGGTTAATCCATTATTTTTTCGATAGATGGCTGTTATGATCAATATCTTGTGAAGTATCATTCAAACAGTTTCAATTTTATGCTCGGTGGAAAGGTGACATTTCGCATCAAAAAAAATTCTTTTGCTGTTTAGATTTTTAGGTGCCACACCAATTAACACAAAAAAAAACATGATGGATCGAATTTCGATCTGCAAAACATTTCCAATAGACCCATTTCTTAAACGGATGGTGACCGGGAATGAGAAATGGGTCCCATAAAACAATATTGTGCTCAAACGATCATGGTCAAACCACGGTGAGGCAGCTCAAACGGTGGTCAAACCAGGAATGATGGCCAGGAAGATTCTGCTGTGCATTTTGGTGGGAAAGAATCCTTTATTATGAGTTGCTTCCATATAACCAAGCACTAAATTCAAATAACTTCTGTCAACAACTGGACCGTTTGAAGCTAGCGATGAACCAGAATTGACCAATGGGAGAGGAACTATATTCCATCAGAACAACACCAGGTCACACACGTCTAAAGTGACTCTTTAAAAACACCGGGAGCTGGGTAGGGAAGTTTTGATGCATCCACCATAAAGTCTGGATCTGGGCCCAAACGATAACCCAGTTTTTTTTTTCATTGCGAAACTTCCTTAGTGATAAGAAATTGGCATCAAAAGAAGATTGTGAAAATCGATTATAGTTCGTTCACCTGGAGTTGGCACTTTGCTCCGCCTTCATCACGTGGTATCCGACGATACTATTTCGCTATTTTTGGGATAAGGATGTGAACAATCCTGAACAAGGTTGCTATTTGGCGATCGGGTGACTAAAATATTTATTTCCCAATCTTAATGGCATTTTTTTAACATTAAATATTTCATAAATTTGATGATACTTCTTTCGTTTGAGTGAATAGTTTGTTCTTTTTGAGGCATTTTGCTGCAATATAATTGATTAGATGGAGTAACGAAAGGTATAATAGCAGATGATAAAGTGAAATAAATGACTGAAAAAGAATTCACTGTTTGCGCTTAGCAAGCATTAAGGGTTGTCTCATTTTTAGGCGCGGAGATGTTTCTCCTCTTACCCCCGCGCGGAAATGAACTCTTCGACCAAGGAGGTGGTGCCAAGGGCCAACTCCTGGTGAACGAACTATACCACAGTTTCTCGCCAATAGGGACTAAGACTTCTATGAGAGAGGCATTCTAAAGCTATTTTTAAAATGGCAACAAATCATAGAATAAAACGGGGCATATTTAACCCCAATTGGTAATCCATAGCGTGTTAAATGAAATTATTTATTTATTTTTTACGTAAAACTTATTTATTTACTTTATTTATTTACTTATTTCTGAAATAAATAAATTTATTTATTTATTTCAGAAAAGTGCATTTAGATGAAAAAAAGTACGTGGAATGTAGGAAAGCAAAGTAAATTCAATTTGCTACTCTGCGAAGAATCTACCTTCTTTATTAAATTAGTTAATATTTTTGAACACTTTTTATTTCATTTAATACAGTTTTGACCAAATTCAATCAATTAGTTAAAAGTTGCAAGCAAAATTAAGCTTTTTTTGAAGTGCAAATTTTAAAAATATAAAATTTCAAGAATTTTAAAAATTGGTAACTAGATTCAATAAAGCAGATTTCAATAAATAATGAAACAAAAGAAATCAAAACTGGTACAAGTTACTTAAAGAATATGGAAATTGCATTGATATAATTCTCCATAGGTTAACAAGGAGGAACAATTAGTTACTAAATGAATTCGAAAATTGGGCTCATAGAAAATGGCTTTCGCTTAAAATGGAGAAATTTAAATAATATTTCAAATAAAAAGAATATAAGAGCGTGTTAATTTAATCAACACTATTTTTTTAGATTTCCAACTTCATAATCATCAACGACTTTGCATGAAATCGATAGCATGCATTGAAAATATAAATAGCGTTAACTTTCGATGTCGTAAATTATCTATTTTGTTACACAAACTCATAGAAGACTGTATCTGAAATAATGCAAATCGTTAAATAGGTAGCCATGGTTGCATAACTAGCGAAGAAAAGAATTCAAAATATTGTTTTTTTCAGTCAATATTGCTGGTGCTCTACACCAGCCAGTATCCTGTCTCATAATCTTTAACCATTATCAATCTACTGCTGGTCTTAACTAAGCTTTTCCCAAAAAAGGTTCGATCTACTGCTCTTTCCTTTAAATGTACAACTACTATAGTTCTGATTCCCTTAGATCACCTTACTTGTAAAAAAAGAATTTTTAAAAAAAATCGGTCGTATGATATCATGGGAAGCAAGACGGGAAAATGTCCATCCATAACTCGCTTTCAGCCATTTCTCTCGATTCCGAATAAACATCTCTCCTTGTATGGTTTTAAACCTTTATAAGGATCTTTTAATGGGATTCCAAAGTGCGAAACAGTGACCACTTTTTATAAAATTTGAAAATTTTAAGCGATTATAAAAACCATTGATATCAATAATATTAAGGCATTTTTTGAAGCATTTCTATAAATATATCAAACATGTTACATTTAAAAAATGAAACGTTATACGTTACATTTAAAATCTGAAAAAAAATCTAAAGAAGCAAGCTAAAAAAATACAGTAATTTTTGGAATATTATAAGACATTCCTAATAATTATATATTTATTTATAATAATAATATTAAAAACAATAATAATAATAATAAAGCACATAGATTCCATTTTCGCCAAAAACTAGTTTCCATCGGATAGCGAGTAGCAAACAATTCTTTTATCGCTCTGTGATAGGCGACCGTTAATTTTGCCCTAAGTGACCGTCCTCATCATCATAAGACACTTCGAGTGTGGGTGGTACACCGAATTCTGCTCCCAGCTCACATCGACCGCAGTGCTGACTTAAAATATTCTCAGTGGTAGACAGATCATGGGTTTGAATACCGTCAGGCTAATCACGGATCAAGATTTCCTCGCCACGTAAAGCTGGTTAGTTCTGTTAATGATATTTCTCAATGTTCATAATAATAATTTCTCTGCTCATCTGTTGTGTTTATTATATGGGTAAAATGATTAATTGTATTCCTCTATGTACCATGAGCATCTTCCTTGCTTTTGTTATTAAATATATTATGTTAAAGACTTTTGTAATGATTTAAAACCCCGAGATTTAACAAGTACTCCACGAAGACTAGTTTGTCCCAATGAGTTCCCTTGTCTTCTGAATTAGGCTCTAAATTACAAGGCTACAAAGTTGAACATTGATAATCGTAAACTCAGACACTGGGAGGGATGTATTTTTGACGCTGGTTATAAAATTAAATATTTTTAAAAAAAATTTTCCTCAGACAAAGTTGCTTTTAATATGAAGCTGTTTTTGACAAAAAGAACTCCAACCGATTCCTCTACTGACTTCGTACATAATATTCAAAAGTTTTACCATTTTCCCCCTCATTTAAAGCAGCCCTCAAAATTTGGGTAACTCCGAGTATTGATATATATACCGGGCATCCTAAAAAATGACTTATGTGAACATTTTTTAAAGAAAAACAAAAGGAGACAGAAATATATATGGTTTGCTGCTTTGTACCTACAGAAAACAAGATTCAAAATTGAATGCAAAAGTGACTCCAATTTTGATCAAATGCAAGTTCAGTTGCCGACTAGAAGAACTAAAAGCAATGTTTGTCTGACCATCTGAAATATTTACACTCGTGTTTGCTAATGTTGACCGCAACCTTCGCCACATTATGGCTGTTTTTAGCAGTTTTTTTAAAAACCTTGTTTTACAATTTTTATTAGTTAGCTACACCATCTGCTGGTGAATTTTGTAACTAATTTTTAAACTTGGCATGAATAAAATAAATGATTTTTCTGAGCAACCTTCAGTTGCAGCAACCTTCAGAGCAACCTTTCTGAGCAGTCTATTGTAAATTTCGACCTTTTCATGTTTCTCTTTATTTATTTTTTCTTACCGTCTATGAATTATTTAGCATAAACTAGACAAAAGTTGAAATTTTTTGTGTCTGCAATTATATTATTATCTTAATAAACTTATTATTATTTTTTATAATTCTTAATTGAAACAGAAAAAGTCAGCATTCAATAAGTAGAATAATATTAAAATATCAACACGGCATTCCATACATCAATAAACTCAAAGTTTTTATTAACTAAAAATAGAAATATTTTTACATATTTTTGGAAAGTAAGATTTGATTTAAATTATAATACTGTAGATATGGATGATGAATACAAAGTAAAAGAAAACATTATTCTCTAGACTTATGAAGAATTTGGTGCAGATAATTTCATGGAAAACGTCAACAAATCCTGTAAAAGAGAAAAGAACTTAATAATGAATGCAAAATACAACATCAACCAAAACTAATATTTCCATTTTTGATATCATTATAGGCATTATATATTTTCTAGCTCCTTTTAATTCCTCTTATTTCCCTTTATTTTAAAAAATTTCCTTTATTTCATAAATTTACAGTTATTTTTAATCATTCCTAATCTCGTTCTAATTAAATAAATCAACTCATGAAATTTTTTATCCCATTTCATAAAAAGGTCATGTAAATATTTTTATTCTTCTATTTTAACAATAAATGTTAATAAAGTATATTTTATGCAATACAAGAAAGTGCATCAAAATCTATTTTTAATATTACTTAAGTTGCTTTATTTATTTTTTTAACTACGAAAATGGTTTGTTTACAGAGTTATATTAAATTCTATCAGCCTTTTTGTTGATTAATTTATAAGCCAGTTTATAAGTATTGTTTATTATTTATATGTATTATTTATGTTATTAGTTATACGTTATTATTTATACGTATTGTTAATAACATGAGTTAACTTTCTTTTTGGCAGCATTATTTCTCGATAACTCGCCAATAATGAATCCCATCCATGCTCTTAAGATGGTTTTTCGAAGCTTTTTCGCCAAGAAAAATATAAAAGCCACAGTTTAAATGCTTTACACTTGGAGGAAAACTATTATTTCAAACTATATATACTATCTTGGCGTGAAGAATTATCTGAACTTTAGAACGGACAAATATCTTATATAGTTTAAAAGTTGTTAAACTTTTTTAAAAATCGCCAATGAGGCGACATTTTTTCCCCTGGATAAAATTTTTTAAAATAATTACCTAATTCTCAGTTTCTGCAAATTTTTATGAGTCCAGATGATGCGACGTTCGAGTAAGTTTTTAAAAATTAAAAATTTAGACCACAAACGCTTTTGATTTTCACTAAACTGTGGCTTTTCTCCATATTGATGTCATGCTCCATTTTCAGAGTAAGCGTAGAAAGCGCTGGCTGTAGACAGGGTAAACTTGACCTAACAGTCACGAGTAACTGTTTCAAACTTACAGCAGTTGTGAAAACACCATATTATTCGCAAAAAAAGCATTTCATGTGACGACGGAGTCTTCAAAAAACAGCTTTACGTCGGTCTAACTAGAACTACTCGTGCAGTTTAAAATTTGTAGGGCTAAGACTGGAGAGCTTTGGAGAGCTCTCAGTCTGACCGTTGTATATATTTAAAAATTTAAAAGAAAAACCTATTATGTTAAAACTATTTCTTTATTGAATATCGTCATGTTAAAATTCGGACCAGTTCAAATATGTTGAGTATTATTATTAGGAAGAACTTTTCAACGCAACCTTCAAAATAAAGGAATATGTTTAATTTTTGCACATTTTTCTCCATAAAATAACGACATGATAATTTTACTACCCATTATCACCCCGGTTTAACATCGTTTTTTAAGGTTAACATGAATATTGAGAAGAAGAAAAAGCGAAACCATGTCTAATATATTGCGTTCTAATGGATGGTATTTTCTACACTACGGAGCGCTGCTGGCTATCTACCGTCCATATTTTACCACCCATATCGCCTGGCTACTGCATTCGGCATATTGTGTGGCCATTTGGCTCAACCTGCTCAATGTTTACTGTGTTGAAACAACACCTCCTAGAAAGAACAGGCCACAGCACGGGTTACCATAAATATCCTTTAGTAGTCCAAACGTAATGACATNCATAAAAAATGCCATAGGATATTCCTATGGGGTTTTGCCTATGGTAAAATTTTGCCATAGGCAAAACCCCATAGAAATATTCTATGGCATTTCTTCATATGGCAAATTTTTGCCATACATGTATGGCAAAATTTCGCCATACGTTCATGGCAAAATTTTACCATAGACAAAACCCCATAGGAATATCCTATGGCATTTTTTATATGGCTAATTTTTGTCATAAAACTAAGATGCGCTACAGTTTATGAAGAGATATTTCCCATATTCGATATTTGTTGGGTTTTATTGGCACAAGAGAAAGACCAAATGGCTATACTGCATAAGTTAAAAGTTGATCAAACTACTGTATTTATTTCCCAGCATTGAAACAGCATTAAGAATTAAGTTGTTCATGATGATCACAAATTGTGCTGGATAACAGTCGTTTTCTCAGCTTAAATTGAGAAAAAATCAATTACGCAGCGCTATGGGACGCTTAAACTGTCTGATGTGCATTGAAAGTGATGTGCTATCGAATTAATCAAAGAATTTGCAAATAAAAATGTTCGCAAATTTGTTTAAAAATAATTATTAAAGGTATTCATTTTGCCAAGTGGGTTATATCTTTATTTTTGTTCATTTAGTTACTGCGATTACGGCTGCTTACCATCTCAAGTTTTTTTTAATTATAAATATCTTAAAAATGCTCAATTTTATGTGTATTAAATTTTCAGAGAATTCAAAATGTGTTTGTTCAAACTTGTCAAAATTATTGCATGGTTTAAAAATGTTTAATTTTATATTTAATGTATGTGAAATTTTATACCTCGATCTTAAGCAATATGACATGTTAAAGGGGCCTAAACCATTTACGTGCCCAGGGCCTTTCATGCTATTAAGACGGCCTTGTGTGCTAAGCAGTTGTTAACTCTTCAAACGGAAGTCGTGAAGGTAAAGAACTCGAGATTTGTTTTTGTATACATTTGTATTGAAAACACCATCCATTTAGTAAAAGCATAATTTTTACCCATTTGAAAGATTATCCATTGTATTCTGAAAAAAAAAACTGAATAAATGGGAAAAAATTAAAATGTGTCAGATTTTTGTGCGCCGTATCCAATTTTGAGACTTTTAAAACTATGTTATTTTAAGGAAAATTAAACGTTATCGGTGGGAAAAAAAATTTTCCCCTTAAGAAAATTTCTTATTTTCATTAATAAATATACTTCAATATTGTATTTACAAAAAGAGCTGTTATTTAATAAAATTCAAACTTCATTTCAAATGTTTCAATGGTTAATTTATATGAACACTTTAAACTTTCATGCATACAGGAGTTTGTTTAATTTCAGTTCGGTACGCTTAAAAAAAAAATTTAAAAGAAATAAAAATCATAATAAATTGGCATGAGTTCAAGCATGTGTTATATGGTTAAAAATCAAATAAAGTAGCTTGTTTCATTCTCCGTGAATAATGTACAGCATAAAAACAAAAGGAAATTGCTGAAGCATTTTAAAACGTTAATGATTTTTGCACAAATTCTTTGTCTAAAGTACAGTTCATGAAAAAAATAAAATTACAATTATCTTATAACAAAGCATATTGCTGTTGTGTAATAGAAAAATCATCGCAAGTGGCAAAAAATTCAATATATTACATATTTGTCATTTTTGTATAAACATTTTTCAATAGTAAATATTGTTTTATCATTTTTTTTTTTTTTTGTTTTATCAATTTTTTTTTTAAATTCTGTTTTAGCATTCATGGTATTAGAAATAGAAAGAAAATAGTTGTCAAGTAACCTTTCCTCGAAGTCCATCGAAAGGCCCACGTATGTTAGTTTTTCAATTGCATCAGCATGTAAAATTGGAAAATTTTATTAAACAGAATTTTGTATAAGAGCATAAAAAAACGGAAATATTTCGGAATCTCTCTATATTAGAAAATCGTAAGAGCTTTTGCTCTTTTTTTGGTGTTCTACATTTTGTTTTGCTGCACAGAAACTATAAGACTTAAAAGCTTGAAATCTGGAAGGTGTGTATAAAAATATACAAAAAAAACGATAGAATAAAATAAAAATTAACATTCAAATCAAATCATTCGAAAATTATTGCAGTTTTATGAGCTTTTTTCCTGGATTTTTTCTCCCTGATTTTCCTTTAAATACTGACTATTTATCCATTGTTGTAAGAAAATTTATTTTTCTCTCTCTTTTTATATTATAAGCTTGTACTCTAGTTGATGTAACAGCGATGGCAAAGAGAGATGCTGCCAGACATAAATCTTGGCTTTTTCATTAAATTTTTTAAATATATAGTCAAACTTAGTTTAAAAAAAGGTGAAAAACCTTAAAATGTTATAATGATGTCTCGTGAACGAGTCAATTCTTGTAATCTCACTCATTGTGCACTCCAAAGTTTAAATCCCCCCCCACTCAAATACAGTTAAGAATTCTTCAAACCCATGATGAGAAAAAATATGTAGTCAAAAGTACCAGAATATGGTGAAATTTACCGTGTCTCTGGCTCTATGGGTACAATAAAAAGCTCTGTGATTTATACCGATGCGCTTTAATAATGATTTTGATATAATTAACAATAAAATATAGTTTATTAATTAATTATAAAATGTGTGATCAAATATATTAATGTTATCATAATACCTTAGATCACGGCCTAAAAACCATTTATTCGATTAAATTTATATTTCAGTTTTGTATTTTTTACTAAATGTGTGGTGAATGGGAACTACAGTTTTGAAAACCAGAATTTCCCTTAAATCGTTCTCCTAGAAAATGTTACCGTGAATGACCGAAATCAAGAGAATGTCGACTTTCATCGGTGAATGTCAACAATCACATAGTCGCTTTGGTGTATGTCCGAAATATTTGATATATCCGATTTAATATTGATTTATTCGTTGATATTATTATATTTATTCGATACTTTAATATATGCTGAGGATAGATTGAGAGAAACATCAGTGTTCGGAGTACCAGTTACATGCATACTTTGCAGTGTCAATGAACACCTTAAATAAACAATAGTAGGGCATACCGGGCAGTGGCACTTAACTAGACCTAGTATATACTTTGGACATTTATTTACCAAAGCGACTGTGCTCTTGACAACATTCACCGGTATATATATATATATATATATACAGTCCAATCACATTAATGTGACCACCACCTACTTTCGACGTCAACGTGAAATAACCAATCACAGAGTGCAGNTCCTTTAGTGATGGGATACGGGTGTTCCTTTTATATATTTTTTTTCTGACAGTTTAATTACAAGTGAACACAACCTGTTTTTTTTTTTAAATTGCCAAAAAAAACAGTCTGATAGTTATTCACAATATTTTTTAGTTCATCGGAATTAAATTTGCTCTAAAATTCAAAAAAGTAGTTCGAATTTTTTTTAAATTCATATTCTGAAATTTATCAATAATTGATTTAGCTAATTAAAGAAAATCAATGACAGATAACTGTTTCTCTCTGTTAAAAATCACTGCAAATAACTCCAAATTTACAAAAATTACTGTTTGTAAGTGAGCCGTGAGTGGAAGATTTTACCTTTTAAGCAAGAAAAGACACCGGGTGTTTCAAGCTGTATGTCATAACCGTAAATTATTAAAATGATAAATATAATATTTTCCACTGATTTTTACCTAAATGAATACAAAATAAAGAGAAAAGTATGAAAAATATGTTTCATAAAAATTCTGCTTCCCCGTTTCTTTTAATTAAATTTTGTTTTACTACTCTTTACAGTTTAAAGATTTAAAAAAATAAAAAAATAAAAAAAACTTTTTCGCTTCGAGAGTCATTACTTATGAAGAATAATGAGGGAAAAAAAAGACTCTCGTGAATATTCTTATTGACTTTTTCTTAAAAAGCATCCCGAGTGGGTTGAAGGTTAAATGGTTAGAATGAAATAACATTGGATGTCCCCATTTGTGGTGTGGGATAATCCATATAAATATGTCCCTGCAAAATAGTTTTAAATCGTTTTATAGAAACATTAATCTCCCATTCATCAATTTCACAACAATTTGAATTGTTCTAAAAGTCAATCCATTTGACATTAATGACAATTTGCGACTGAGAGAACATTTTCCTAAAAGTGTAAAACTCTTTTTATATGCATGCCGTATAATTTAATGGTCGCAAAACAACGTTTAATAATTTTTAGAAGAAAAAAAATGACTCCATTCATTGAACGACGCTCTATAAATAAAAGTAATGTACGCACTGAAAAATTTTAGGAAACTCGAAAGAAAATTGAGTTAAAAGAAGTCCGTCGTTGGAAATCATTTTCCTAATACTACGGAAAAAATTGCTAAATACTACGGATACTAATAGACAAATGCTATACGCACAGCAAAATTTATAAGTAAATCGACTGTCACATTTACCATACAAGTATTTGATTTCGCAAAATCAATTTCTTTCGCTAATTATAGTGTCGAATTATGTAAGAATAAAAAATATATGTACCCTTTATACAATTATGCGATAATTTTTTTTGGTACATCTTTATTAAGTAATAACTTAAAAAGTATCTTAATATTATTAATTCAATCAGAAAAAAAATTTCTTTAAAAATTATAAAAACTACATTAACAAGAAAAAAAATTGCTTAAAGCAAAAGTTTTTTTTCCCTCACCATAAAATATTAATACTATTATTATAATTATTATTAAACGGAGTGCTCTATTATGAAATACCCTATACCCATTTTTACACAGTGATATTTATTTTCAGAATCCATGTCCAAAAAAAAAAAATTTATACACATTTGAGATCTCACATTAGTAAACAAGCGATGAAAGAAAGGCTCTTGAAGTCTAATAAATCACTAGGAAAGAAGGAGGAAACGAAAACTTCAAAACGTTTCAGTTTACCGTCGAAGATATAGATAGCAATAAAATTTCGTGTATATATTTGTTTTTATTTCCTCGCTTGAATATCAATTTGAGTCCTCTAACATTTTTTTTGAAACGGATACTAAAAATAAATATCATGCTCGCAATTAATAAACAACTTGTGTAACTTCATACACAATAGTAAAGCCTGTAAATTATTTTATAACAATACAAACATTGTGTCCATCTTCAAATGATCTTTAGGTAATGACTGAATAAATGGATGTCTTCATTATTTTTTTTTTTTTTTTTTNTTTTTTTTTTTTTTTTTTTTTTTTTTTTTTTTTTTTTTTTTTTTTTTTTGAAAGCCGTAAAACCATATTTTAGAGCAAACAACGGGTCATTTTTCAGTAAATACTTTGTCTATTCAGAAACCAATATTAGGGAGATTTCGCACTTATATAGTGCGGCTTTGAGGAGAACTACTCCAGACTGAAAGTATGGGGCTGTCTGCTGCTATGGTGACAAGCGAGAGCACATTTCTAATGGGGATGAAATGGAGGAAAGAAGGTGTCGATTGGTTTACTTACGACAACCTACGCTAAGATTAAGACAAAACTATTCACCCCACACCCCTATTCGAAGTGACCTTTCCTCGTAACCATAGTACCCGCCACGACACGAGACGGGTGTCTGGAGGAGTTCTCTTGAAAGCCGTACTATACGTTAGCTTCCGTACGCTCCCAAATGTAAGATTGAAACAACTGCGCATGCTCGAGTTTATTTTAGATGCTACGTAACTTTACGTTTGTTTGAGTGTGATTTACGCAACCAAGAAGCGTGCTGTTTATAGCCGTTAAATGTTGATTTCTGTTTAAGCCTACCCTCGAACTAAAAACATGGACATGGAAAGCTAATTTGAAAAAATGTATTGTTTTAATACAGAAATGAATCGTGTGATCTTTCGAAAATCGGTTCATTCCATATAAAGATAATTTTATTGGTTTTTGATTAATATTATGGTTGTCTAATGGCACTAGTTCCATAAGAAACTAAATATAGTGTCGCTATTTTAAAATTGTAAATTATATTTATTTTGACTACACAATTTAGTTTAAAAGAAGTTCAAATAATCCATATAAGTTCAATAATATTTTTCAAGAATATTATTTTTAATGATAATAAGCTGCATTTTTTATCGCTGAATTTATCAAAATCTGCAATCTGTAAAAAATTTTCAGCTCATAAAACCACAGTTTTACGTAAAATATCTTGAATCGTATGCCACATGTTTAATGAGAGAGAGTCTGCGTTCATTGCTAATGTTTGTTTTAATTTTGTGGTCGAAGTTAAAACGATATTTAACTACGAATTTTTTTAACGAATTTTTTTTTTTAAATTCCGCCATTATCGATTGTTAAATAATAACAGTAATTTTACGTAGCATGATACATTTTTAATTCCATTTCTAATGTTTACTATATTTCTGTGTTATACATTAGAGCTTAATGAGCGGTAGGGCAAAAGCGAGTGCTATTTTTTGCATTACAAAAATATTTTTTTCAAATATTAATATATCTGTTTTAATCTAAAATATATTATAATATATGGTGTGCAAAAACTAACTTACTATTAAGCGAACACTATTCGTAGCTTTATTTTCAGAACACTGAAATTCGTGCTCCTTTATTTAAATGGTTAAAAATCCAATCATTAAATCAAAAGATATATAAGATTTTTGAAACATGCCAATATGCAAAGAAAGCCCTCGATATAGGCCTATATTTAACATAAACTTACGTAATCCTTTATTGAGTGTGAACGAGAGATGAGGGTAGAGTGTTAGGGTGGAATGGGGATCGCTTGGAACGGTAGACGTCATCGTAGATATAGCTTGTCCTCGCATTCGATCCTTCCTCATTCAAATCCAAAAGCTGAAAAATAATTGAATTCATTTTATTTTTTGACCCATTACGACACTCTGTTGTTGTTGCTTCTAATGACTCCTGGACAAACCAAGCTCGCTAGCCATTGTCCTTGCGAATTAAGTCAGGAAGGAGCGCCTTTTGTTTGACAAGAGAACACTGCTAGGGTGACAGCGTGAATGAGCTCAAAAACACCCGGATAGGTATCATCAGCCCTCATTAGCGGGAGGTCACTTACACAATTTAGACATAAATCTGAAGGGAAAAAAATTTCTGCAGATCCCTGAACCTATGATACAGCTCAGCGACCGACTATAGGGTTTTCAATTACACAGATTATACGATAACGTATATCGGTGTGTTTTAGTGGCTTTGAGAACTGAATCCTGGCCCCTCCGCACCGAAGTCCAATGCAGGATTACAACGACTATCCTCAACTCCGTATCTTTGTAATTTAGATCCCAGCCCAGAAGACAAGGGAACTCCTAGATCAAGCGTTAAGAGCAACAACTTTTTGATTGAAGTAACCTGCATTCGCGTTATATGCGGAAGAAAACCTCTAAAACCCCCATGATTAGCCCGACGGCAAGCGTACTTTAAAACATGATTTGTTTACCTTTGAGGATATTTCCAGTCATCACTGCGGTGAGTGTGATATGGAAGCAATATTCGTATCTGGGGTTCGAATTTGTATCCCCAAGTGAGCGATATCTATCCCCTGAGCAACTCAAACAAATTGAAATATGTTTAAAAAAGAAGAAAGTAAAAAAGACGTAAATATGCGTGTTTAAAATGCGATTAAATATCACAACATTGGGTGGCGTATTCTGAAATGACGGCTCCTATTGTTTGCACTTTTAGTCAAAACAATAAAGTGAACGCTTGCAATTTAAACGAGGAAAACAACTTTTATACTTCTGAAGATATTGCTATAGAGGAAGACAAAATTTAAAAAAAATATGTCAAACAATACTTAATCTAAACAAGAATTTATAAATTAATAAATTTCTAATAGTTGCATTTTATCTCCTCTCAATTTCCTTAGATAATGGAAGATGTTTTAACATTTTAAGCGTCGCCTCTCTTCAAAAGTGATTCGGTAAATTTAAATCTGTTATGGCAAAACTTTGTTGGTTGGAAAGAAAGCTGAACTACCTGTTACAGGAGCATAAAAAGTACACTGAGTAACATAGAATAAAAAATTTACTTTTGATGTCTGAGTATGGAACGTGGGAGTGTAAATGACATCCCTGGGGGAGGCACGCGAAGTTTGAGGGCGAACCAGCAAGAAAAAATAACAGTTCTTACTGTGAATGACAGAAATGAGTGGTTGTCGACTTCTCATTTCGGTGAATATTGTCAATCACATTTGGTAAATGTCCGAAGTAGGTCTAGTTAAGTGCCCGGTATGCCCTACATCAATGTTTTTTTAAGGCCGCCACGTGTCTCTGCTCAATATGTATTCACTCCGAACACTGATGTTTCTCTTAATCTATCCTCAGCAGATATTAAAATATCGAATAAATATAATACTATCAACGAACAAATTAATATAAAATCAGATACAACAAATATTTCGGACATTCACCGAAGGGATTATGTGATTGTCAACATTTACCGGTGGAAGTCAACACTTCGGTCTTTTGCAGGAACATTTATTGGATTATAAAGCTCCGTATTTCAAAATAGAATTGTATGGAATTGGAATACTAATCAAATAAATTTTCATAATTCAACTGTGAAATTAAAAGATTCATAAAAAAAATGTCCTTACAGCTCTCAAAACTTCTTTGATGTGTTCGTATCTTGATGGATCGGATCGTGTAGGCAAATATCTAGATTCTGCAATCCATAGCAAGCTGACCATCAGAATCAGTGTGACGACACAACTTCCTTTCTTACCTAAAACATTTAAAGTTGTTCTTTAATACTAGATCTAAAAATAAATTTTTTTAAATAGTATTCAAGTTGTTACGTAATATTGCTCAATATACTTTTGCAGGGAAGTCGTACAAAAGTCTCAAATATTATGCAGCGAAAAGTAATTGGGGCACAATATTCTTTTTCTCTTTAGACCCAAGCATGTCTACTGAAAACTTTGTTGAATACAAACGCCTTAGATTGAGCCGCGATGGTTCAGGGGATAGAGCGTTCACCTTCCAATGGGATGAACCGGGTTCGAATCTCATCAATACGAATTCCGCATCCGGCTGGCACCCACTACAGTGCTGACGTAAAATATCCTCAATGGTAGACGGATCATGGGTTAGAATATCCTTGCTGTCGGGCATACCGTGAGAGATTTTTGTACTTTTCCTCTCCATGCAACACAAAAACGGGTTAGTTCCATCAAAAAGCCCTTCACTTAGGCAAATTTCTCATAATACTTGATCCAGGAGTTCCCTTGTCTCCTGGATTGGGTTCAAATTTACAATGCTACGGAGTTGAACATTAGTAGTCGTAAACCAAAAAAAATTGGATCGACTGTTCAGCGTAAGTTATAAAGTAAAATATAAAAATGCTTTAGATGCTTGCAAATGGTGGTATAAGCTTAGTCCCCGTTGTGAGGCATGATGAAATCAACCCATTAAGTACGAGTCAAGTAAATGACGTAAAATTTTTCCATAAACACAGACATTTGATGCAACATGACTTCTTTTCATACTTTAATGAGCTGTCAAAAGTTATGTACAAGACAAATTCGATGAAACTTCTCAACCACTTTCCGTTCCACAGTAAAATGGCCATTAATAGAGGTGGGTCGTTCTTGGAAGTCGTTCTCTCCAAAATTGTCATCAAAAGTATATGATTTTAATTTTAGTCAGTGTCATTATCTTGGGACGGAAATGCCACCTCTGTTGGCGTCATAAAAAGACGGATCTATAAATAAAATGTAGCGTCTTTAAAAATGATCCCAACACATGTAATTATGTGATAAAACAAATTTACCCATTATGAATGATCAAGCCATTTTAAATAAATAAACTATTACGCTTCTTGTTTAAGTTTGCATTTAATTGTATAACATAAAAATGAGCAAGCTTTAAAAGATGAGAAGAGATTTGTTTCAGGTACTTGTTTTTTTTCTTCTAATTTAACTCTAAAAATAAATAATTGATAGCATCGTCTTGAGTGTCCACTGACTGCAACGGGAAGTTACATCATCAAAAAGAGCTCTCTAAATTAGAGTCTCAGAAAAATATTTCGAGTACATTTTAATCTACTTACTTGTTTTGTTAATATTTTTTGTTTTGATATTTTTTCGTGTTTCCTTATTTGATCTTTTCCGCATTGGGTGCAGAGGTTTTGCCGGTCGTTAAGAGAGGTTTTTAGGGTCTCTCCTAAAGGTTTTGTTCTACCCAAAAACTATGGAAGAAATTCCGTGTCTCCCAAACGTGGTCGTAAATAGAGGTGGTCTTTTATACTGTGAGATGGATTCTATCCCACTGAGAATTTGGAGAATATTTTGAAGAGTTGTTTTGGTACTGTACAATTAAAAAAAAATAGTTAGGTTAAATAATGCTAAAAATGTTAAATCCCACGATGATGAAATTCCGATTGCATGATCAAGAATGTGTGCAAGTATGGAATCAATGAAACAAAGTATCTTCAAAATTCATTGCTTATATATTAATGTATATGTTACCGTGAAGAACCGAAATCAAGTGAATGTCGACTTTCACTGGTGAATATCAACAATCACATAGTCGCTTTGGTGAATGTCCGAAATAATTGTTATGTCCAATTTTGATATTAATTTATGCGTTGATATTAGTATATTTATTCGATATTTTAACATCTACTGCGGATGGATTGGGAGGAACATCAGTGTTCGTAGTACCGGTTAAATGCCTAATGGACAGTGACTCGTGACCTTAAAAAAACATTACTGTAGGGCATACCGGACAAATGTATACCGGATAGTGGCAATGGACCTCAAAAAAACATTGATGTAGGGTATACCGGGCAGTGGTACTTAACTATACCTAGTATATATTTCGGACATTTACCAAAGTGACTATGCGATTGTCAACATTCACCGGTGGAAGTCAACAACCACCCATTTCTGTCATTCACAGTAACGTATGCGAGGCGCATCCAGAAAGTAAGTTTCCCTATTTTTTTGAAAAAAAAACTCATACTCTCAGGAACATATTTATTGGCAACAAGAACAGCAATGTTTCAGCTATTTTTCAACATAGCCACCACCAGAATTGAGACTTGTCGTATCGTGGGATCAACTTTTGTGTCCCTCTGTCGTAGAATTCTGCCGCCTGTGAATGGAGCCACGTGGTGAAACAGTAAACGCTGACCGTTACTGTGAAACACTGCGGAAATTGCGACATGCCATTCAAAACAAGAGGCGTGGAATGCTTGCTGCAGGGGTTGTGCTCCTCCTAAACGATGTTCGTCCACATAAGGCTCGGCGCACAGCAGCTGTTTTGGCGAAATTTGGCTCGGAGTTGTTTGATCATCCAACCCTACAGCCCTGATCTTGCATCCAGCGATTTTCACGTTTCTTGCAAATCAAGAAATTTCTGTTCTCCGGTGAGCGTTTTGGTAACGACGAAGAGCTGAAGATGTCTGTCACACGCTGGTTCCATTTACAGGCGACAGAGTTCTACGACAGAGGGATACAAAAGTTGATCCGATACGACACGTGTCTCAATTCTGGTGGTGGCTATGTTGAAAAATAGCTGAAACATTGCTGTACTTGTTGCCAATAAATATGTTCCTGAAAGTATGAGTTCTTTTTTTTTAAAAAAAGAAAATATGGAAACTTACTTTCTGGATGCGCCTCGTATATAATGATAGAGCTGTATTGGAAACGTGGGACTCTTTTTTTTCCCTTCTGACCAAATTAATTTGTACAATAATATAAATCAAAGTTAATCCATGAAAAATAGAAAATTTGTAAAATTTAAAGAGAATCATTTTGCTGTCCTTAGAGACCCATTTTTTTCCCTTATGCCAATATACAAACTTGAGAATATTTTAATAAAAATCAGAAACTGTATTTCATATAGTATATACTGCATTAATACTACATTAATAGAGTACGCTACATTATACATTAATGTATACTGCATTATATTTATACTACTATTAATACAACATTATATACTACATTAATAATATATACTACATTAATATGCAAATTTAAGAAAAGAATCTTTTTATAACTTTCTCTGAAGGTCATGTTTTATATACTTTCGACTAAGATATCTCTTTTAATTAGTTTACTTAAAAATCTCAACAGCATTTCTGAAACAAATTCAGGTTTCAGTGCTTGTTCTAAGTTTTTAAATAAACATTGACATTTAATGCTACTTCACTCAATTCGACATAAATTTTATTTTAACAATTATCTTTTTAAAAAATAATTCTACAAATAATGTTAACTCAAATAATAATGCAATGGTTGAAAAAAATTTAAAGAAACAACGACAAATAATAATATTTTTTAAGCTACAAGTGTTCGAAAGTTACGCAAATTTAGCGTTAAGTAAAAAAAAAATTAAATATATCTAAAAAAAAATTTGAAAATACATAAAAAAAAATTTCAATTCTTCTTAATTTTCCTGCACGTAAATCAGCGTATTCTTTTTAATTTTTCCACGTATAAGAGCCACATAACTTATTCTCCCTGTTCAATTAAATTTCTTTTTTTGCGGTTTTAAAACCATGCTAGTTGTAAACGTTTAAGAAAGCATACAGTTTTATATCCATGGCTTTTAATAACCATACTGGTTGTAAACTGTTTCAAACCCGTAAAGGTAAAAAATGTTCTTGACCATAATTGGATGGGCAGACTGCTGCGGGTTATTTTAAATTTTAGTTTCAAACAGTGTAGTTACAAGAGGAAACTCTAAATTGTTATATGCATCAAATTAAAAAGCAGGATTTTTATGGGTAGCTTTTGCTTTCATGACAACTTCTTTTTCTCATCGTTTTTTACAAACGGAGATATTGTATAAAACAATTTATAACAAATTTAAAAGCTTACTCTTTTTAATTAAAGGACGCCACCACTAGTGTGAACACATGTCAATAGTGTTAAAGCTCCTACGGGTTTTAGAAATGTCTTATACTGGTAGTAAATACAAGTTAATAATAGCAAGAATTTCTTTTTTCACGATTAGAGATCTAGTAGCCCTCAGTTCTCAAGCAAAGCTACGCACAGTAAAATGTTTCGGGAGCGACCCTCTCTCCGTTCCACAGTAAAATGGCCGATGATGGATGTTCTTGGAGGTTAACCTCCTTTGACTTCAAAATTGTTATCGAAGGTACACGATTTTTTGCAAACTATTTTAATTTTAGTCGGTGTCATTCTCTGGGGGAGGAAATGCCACTTCTGTTGGTGCCATGAAAAGACGGATCTACGAATAAAATTTAGCCTCTATAAAAATGATCCCAACTCATATAATTATGTGTCAAAACAAAATTACCCATTATGAATGATAAAACTATTTTTAATAAACAATTATATTTTTTGTTTAAGCTTGCATTTAATTTTATAACATAAAATTGAGTTAACTTTAAAAGATGAGAATATGTTTGTTTGAGATGCTTGTTTTTTTTTTTTTCTAATTTAACTTCCAACTCTAAAAGGAGATCACTCTGACTGCTGTTGCATCTCTCTAAATAAGAGCCTCGCACAAATACATTTTAATCTACTCATTCGTTTCTTGTTATGATATTTTTTCGTGTTTCCTTATTTGACTTTTTCCGCATTGGGTGCCCCGAGGCTGGGAGAAGTTTCAAATTCCATGTCTCCCGAAAGTGGTCGTTAAATAGAGGTGATCTTTCCGGGAGGTTTCACTGTATTTTCTTTAAAATGGTTGTAATAAAAGCATTCAATGAAGTTTATTTTATGTCCGTTACCACAATACGTTTTTTCTAAGTCAAAACCCTGATAAAGATTTCTGTGATAATAATATGGGCTAATGATTAAAATATCGCTTATTACTGTATTATTTACTTTATGTAAATCATAAAAAGTATTTCACTTTATTTAGAATTTTTTCCACATTTAATTTACTAAGTTTGATTGACTTTTAAAAATTTTAAGAGAACTAATTTAATTCACCAAAAGATTTATGTTACAAAATTGTAACTAAAGTTTATAATTTTTATGACAGTTGTATTATAATGCTTCTCAGATATGATTTATCAGTGCCTCTCAGCCAACATTTGACATTGGTTTTGGCATACTGCGTTAGAAAAGAAAAACCTTATTCGATTTTATAAATAAAAAATCTTTTTCTCATCGATTAAATATCGAAATATATAATTCCAATGTAATCCTTCTTCTTCAAAATATTTATTTTTTTATTTTTTTATAGTCATTTGAGTATAGTTCAATTACTAATATTATATTTGTATTTACATACTTAAAAGAACAGGAGTTATAGATTCTTACACTGCGGTGCAATTGAAAAATCAACACAAACGACGAAAGATTCTAAATTAAAAATTTTTTATATTTGGCATCTTCATATGGTAGCTACATATAGCAAAAGAAAAAAATTTAAAAATAAATTTTGCTTTATCAGTTTCGTGAAATTCCATTTTAGGGTTGATAGCATTAGCAATAGAAGGAGAAAAGTTGTCAAGGCACTTTTCTCGGAATCAATCGTCAAGCACTTAACGTTGTTTTTTCAATTGCACAGCAGTACAATATTCAAAGGTATAGTTCAACGAAAATTAAAGTAAGCAATGATTGCTTTGTTCTGCAATTACTTATAAACTTCACGGCACGGTTGTCAGGTCTTATATATCTACTTAAATTGTTTACGAGTCATAGTAATTAAAACAGTTGCAAATCAAGTTTACCTAATCAGAAAAAAATGGTAAAAAGCAACATTTAGTACCACATTAATGATTCATGAAAAACTACGAGTTAATATAGAAGAAATCGGTATTCTTAAATTTATTTAACTTAAAATATTACTAAAATTTTTTTAAATATTATCAGTAGTAATTAAAACAGTTTTAAACTTCTCACTGATATCCATAATTTGTTTTCATTTAGAATATTCTAATGTTCTTGTACAATAATATTTTTATAACCGTCGTTGAACAGCCGACCCTATTTTGTGTTTACTAATGTTCAACTCCGTAGACTTGTTATTTTGAACCTAATCCAGAAGATATTGGAATTCCTGGATCAAGTATTGGGAGAAACTGTGCCTTCGTGGAGGACTTTTTGAGGAAACTAACCCGCGTTTGCGTTACCACGAGAGAAAATCACGAAAACATCCCAATGTTAGAACGACGGTAAGGGAACTATACTAGTAATTCTAAAATTATATCTAGTTCAATAATTTAACAATGCACGGGGGCTCAAGTATACAAATAGTATTAATATGCATACATTAATTATTCGTGAGCAAATTAAGTACCAATTTATTTACCTTAAGTACCATGACAAAAAAAAGATTTAGGACAATGTTTAAAAATGCAAACTTTTTAAAATGTTAAATTTAAATTTTAATTTATTTCGAAAAAATAAATAAATTTCAGCTCAAAATTGTTTAAAAAAATCTTAGTTAAAATTGTTCATGCTAAAGCAGACACCCTAAATATTGATTCCTCATTTATCGCAGCCAGGATTTTCTTAATCCTAATTTTTCTTAAATTTTAAACTTTCTTCACAGATAACTCATTAAGTAAACTACTTTAAAGTTCAAAGCTAACTTTAATATATTAACCCCTTCCTTCTCGCTGCTGTGGAAATGGGGGGGGGGTGAGGTTTCGTCCTCTATTTCTCGCTCCCGTGATATTATCGGACTGGAGTGTTCAGTAGTAACGCGCCAATGAGAATAAAACTCATTCATTTCTTTTGCCCGGAAAACATTTTATTTCTCCTTTTACACACCAGATGGCAGTACCAGGATATTTTTAAGGTAATTGTAGATAGAGGTAGTAAGAGATGTAGGAAGGAAACTGTACTGTTCAGATTGTGACGTTGGCCTCTGTATCTCATGCTTTGAAATTTATCACACAAGAAAAAATTACTAATCTTTACTTATATTATACGTAAGTTTAATAAAATTCTTTTTAATGTTCAAAACACACATATTTTAAATTTTCCTTGCTTGCTGGAAATCCAACATTAAGTCATGTTGGTTTTTCCTAAAAATTTAATTTTTTAAAATTTCAAGCTGAAAAGAAATAAAAAATTAAAAATGAATATATATATTGTTCATACACATATTTTTATGTAATTTTCGGAGATAAAAAAAATAGGCACTTTCATGACCATTTTCTTGAAAATTAACCGATCGTTAAGAGGTTAAGTGAACTATCACAAAAGAATTTTATCTATAAAGGGTATTATATTGAACTTATAATTACTAATAAACACTGGTAAATAGCAATATTTCCCTGATTTATTGCAATTTTTATAATCTCTGATAACCATTATCACAAATGAAAGAACAAAATTGCAACTTTTCTCAGGCTGTTTTTTAGTATGTATAAAGTAATGGATGACATGAAGCTAATGGATAATCGAATGATATGATGAATAATTTTTAACGTATTTTTATTGAATAATTTTTAATGAATATTTTTTAATATGTATTCAAATGATAAACTGATAACCTAAATATTGAGTAAAATACAAATTACTTTTATAAAAATACAATTTGTAATAAGCACTATTGATTGCCACTGTAAAAATACAAATAGCTATCAATAATAAGTTCGAAGAATATTTTTTTAAGAGAAAAAAGAAAATTTTTTAAAGAGTGGATCTTTGTTTAGTCAATTCAAAATTTGATGTCGATCTCAAGAGTTAAAAGAAGACAAAAAATAAAAAAGTTAATAAAAGAATTCATATGTTGTTAAGTAAAATATTTTTGATGAAATCAATAGACGATATTTAGTGTTCTACTTCATATTCCCCTAATTTACCAATCATTTATTCCTTTTTAAATTTTATCAGTTTAATTTTTGCTTGTCAAACAAAACGACAACTAAGAAAATATCTCTACATATTAATATACATTCTTTAATAAAGATGTCTAATTATAAGGAGAAAAAGTTATTCGAAGATCTATATGAAAGAATATTTATTGAAAAACTAGAAATGTAAAACTTAATTCAATTCTTTATATGATCCAAAACATGCCTCCTTAAGAATACAAATTATTCTTTCACAAAATTTAGCAGACGATATTTAATGCTGTACTTCAGATTACATTTATTTACCAATATTTAATTTATTTTAAAATTTCAAGAGGTTAGTTAGTTTTTTTTTTTTTTTTGCCTAAACAATCCGTAACAAAGAAAGTTCTATAATTTTTTCTTTGATAAAGATGAAACATTTTTCGAAGAAAAGAAAATAATTCAATACTACAATGAAATTATAACCTTCATAATATAATAAAAAATAAGAAAAGTTAATTCGAGAATTTAATGTCTCGTTAAGTATTCAAACTACTATTTCACGAAATCAGCAGACGAAATTTAGTTCTCCTACTTCAGATTACATTAAATGCTAATAATTTATTCATTTTAGAATTTTAAGAAATTTTGTTTACAAAATCAAACATCTACAAAGAAAGTTCTTAAATTATATACATTCTTTTATAAAATGAAAATTTATTATAGAAAAAAAATTAATAAGAGAGTTTATATCTTACTGGACATGGTTCGGGGGAAAAATGAATTCCTCGTCAATAATTCAAATTCTTCGGTGACGAAATCGGCAGACAATAATTGATTTTTAATCTCAGAGAAGTCCGACAGAAAAGCGATGTGAAGATAGGATTCCAGATGAGTTTTTCCCGGATTTTATACTCCCCGCGACGGACAATCGGGAGCCACTGCTTTCAATGGGTGGTCAGGGGCGTGACGTCAAAGGCGTGGGTGCCCATGTCCCTCCCCCCTCTAAACACATTTCTGCAGTGTCCCATCAACATTTTTATGATTTGTTCTATTTGTTCCATTTTTCCCTCTACCATTTACGGGCAACAAGAATTCTCGAATTTCTAGTTGGTGTTGGAAAAGGCTTCTGTAATTGTTGCGCGAGTGTTTCTGGGATTTCGATCCCTTATTTGCGAAAGGGGTGTTCTTCTGCTTTACATGTCAAGGAGTCGTTTCAAGGACTTCTTCTTAAGGGCGAGGGGCGTTCGCTTGACTTGTTTAGCTTTCTGAAACTGAAATAATAGGAAGTGATTGAATTGATTTTCGTCTGCAATCCTCCATGCTATGTCACTTGACCTAGTTCTAGTTGAAAAAGATTTAGTAGAAAACAAATCTGATTTAGAATGATAAACAATCGAAATAAATATATTATCTCACTCATTAGTAATGAATTCACAATAATACTCACTAAAAATTCAAAACTGATTCTGTATTTAAAACCAAGCACACTTTTTAATAGTTATATAATTTTTAAAAGTAAATTTCTAATTAGAAAAAAAAAGAGAAGAAAAAAAAAACAGAATTTATGTAAGTTTACTTAAGTGAGAAAGCAGAATTAAGATAATTAAACTTAAAATGGGATATGAAAGCATTAAATTTAGATGAGGAAAATGAATTAAAAGAATTACCCTTAGTTGTATAGAAAAATTTATTTCGGTTATTATATATTTTATTGCCTGTGAACTTAAATGAATACTTTTATATTACTCCATTAAATATATCTTAGTAATTACTTAATGTTTAAAAAAAATCCTTAGATTAAACTATTCATTCTCACTAAAAGTTTCAAAACAAAAGGAAGATATAGAAACAAAAATGAATGTTGAGACCTCGACATCGATGAAATTTTAAAAAAAATCGAATTTAAGTATAAACTTAAATGAGAACATGGGCTTAAGGTAATCATCATTTGGGTGCAACATGCAATTTAGAAAATTGGATTAAAACAGGGATACAAAATTCAGGGAATTATCCTTATCAATATAGAAAAATTAATAGGGAGGTAATTATATAGTGAAACTTGTTGCCTAAGTTGACCACTATTATCAAGAACCGAATTTTTTATGCAATAAAAGGGAGCAAATTCTCAGTAACCTGACAATATGTCTATCTTGTATGCCGTCCATTGAAATAAGTCAAATTTCTCAAAAAGCGTTATTGAATGCTATTCTTTAGCAGAAAAAAAAATCAGAAAATTTTCTATATTATATCATAATAGTATTTTATACATTTAAATAATTATGTGACCTATTAAAATTTCACGAAATTAGTAAAACTGTATAGCTAATTTAAAGCTTTTTCTAAATTGATAATAATAGCAGCTTTTGAGAGCTTTTGCAACAAATTGGTTTTCAAGCGTAGCAAAATAAATTTTCAAAAAAAGGAGGAAACTAATACATTGCTAATTTTTCTAATTGCATATTTATACATACTAGTGGGCTGCGCCCCCTGCTCGCTAACGCTCGCCAACCCCCGAAATATTCTCTGAATAAACATACCTAATTTCTGACGCCCAAAATCTAGAGGTAACCGCAATCTGGGAAATGTGGGCCCCACAGTTTAGTCAGGAAAGCGGTCTAAAGTTTGAACCCATAAATGTTAATTTTGCTTTTCTTGTATTTCACCGTATCTCGAGAATTTTGTAAGCGAATTAAAAAAATTTTGGATTTAATTATAAATCTCGTCTATTGAGAGATGATTCTATGCATAATATAACTCTTAGGAAATAATAGTCGAATTAATAATAGTCTATTTAATAATAGTCGAAAACATTTTGAATTGTAAGATAAACAAATTTTTACATAATTTTAAAGAATGCAACTTTACACAGCAACATACAAAATTTGAGCGAAATGGGTCGAATAGTTCTTCAAAAATCAAATTGTGAAAAAATTGTATTTTTGAAATTTGATTTCTCAGGAACCATTCGATCGATTTCACTCAAATCGATCAAAATTGCATTCTTTAAATTGGTGTAAAAGATTGTATATTCAAAAAATTTTCGAGTTTCGTTAAATTAAATAATAAAAAATAATAAATATTTACTGAAAGTTATATTCTTAATGGAATTAAGAATATAACTTCTAATTCCACTAAAAATATAACTTTTAGTAAATATTTATTATTTTTAATAAATATTTACTAAATCTCTGATAAATATAATCTTTTGATAAACGAACTTTAGGTGCAAACAATTTTCAATTCGCTTAAAAAATTCTTGACATGTGACGAAATATGCTCAATGTAAAATTAACATTGAAAGGGTCCACACTTTAGACCGCTCTCCTGCCCGAACTACCGGAGCCCTATTTCCCAGGCAGCTGATGTTTTGCCTCTAGCACCATTAGAAAGAGAAAAAAAGCGAAATAGATCTTGCTAAGTCAGTGATCGAATGCCATATGTCATGCTACAACTGGAAACATCAGATAAGATAACATATAAGAAAAACTGAGAAAGAAGATTTACCTTGAATGTCAGAAAACTAACTGGAAATGACTGACCTTTGCGTAAACATAAGAAAGATGTTTAGATTTGGCCAATACATGAAGATACCACTATACGGAACTACATAATCATTATTATTACTGCGTTTAAATGAAATGAAGTTCACAAGAAAATACTCGAAAAAACTTGAAATACTCGAAATACTTGAAAAAAGTCATTAACGGACCCATCAATTTGTGAGATGGACAGGAATGTTGTCTCGCATCAAGAATATCGCACAATCTTGTCATACTTGTATTAAAGAAAGACAACCGACAACAGGAGCTTATAAAACCAAAACCAATGCAGGAAAATCCATGATAAGTTATAGGAATCATTCTCTTTCGCTGAGAAGGGGAAAAAAATCTTTATTTATTACAGATTACTACCCAGATATCCAGAAGTCATGGTCTACAACTCCAGAACCAACAAGATTTTGTCCATCTGAGTTGATGTTGGGTCGCAAAATTCGTTTAACAATTCCTACTCTGAGGAAAGGCCAAGTTTGATTCGACAGAATATTAAAATAAGTAAGTCAAAGCAAAAACAGAACCATGGAGCCACAAAAAGGCCTTCCTGAAAGTAGTACAGTTTGGATAATTTGATTTAGGATAGACCAACATTTTACGGAGTCGATACTGATCAAAAATTTATAAGAAGAAATATCATTCACTACAAAACAGTAGAGACAGCAAATAATTCAAGCTCCACTACGTTATCTCCAGATAATAGTTCAATCTCTATTAAATCATCGTTATGTGACTGTTCAAGCTCTCTAAGTCTGATAACAAAGAAAAGAAGACATAGAAGAACCAATAAAAAAAACCGAACGAATTGGGTACTTGCACTTCAAGAAGAAGAAGATCACAATACCACCCATGGCAGTCGGCATCAACTGATAGTTAATAAGCAAAATGGCGTGTTCCACATAATGTCAATGAACGTGAAAATAATTAAATACATCGGATTATCTAATTCTTTCTCGTCTACGTCTTTTGCTTAACTTAAGATTTATTATCTGCTTATTTATTTTATTGTAACTGTGCTACATTTTGGTTTTGTGGTTCCTGGCAACTTCGATGCATAATTGTTTTGTTTATGTTCTAAATGGCTTCATACCTGCCTTTGTGTTAAGAAATATAAATAATTAAAATCATTGTGAAAGAATCTTTGTGTAAGAATATAGAATGCGTCACTTAAGAGAATTTATACTTGAGGGGTTTGGCTTACTCGAAATAGAATGGAAAAAGCAGTTATTAACGTAAACAAATGCCACGTTTCAATAACCAATCAGGATCGAGATACCCACTCTAAGTCACTTGCTCAGGTATCCCATTACTAACGTTTAGATTTCGAAATGAGATGTAATAGGGAGAGGTTGACACAAGTGAAGTGAGTACGAAATGCGGATTTCTCTTAAAACATATTTATTTCATAAACACAAACATTAATATAACATAAACTAAATTAAACATTATGGGCCAAGCTAGCTAATGAAGAAGTTGAAAAGGTAAGTGGCTGTTCTTCCTCTGAAGGACAGAATATATATCACTCGGATCACAGGGTTGCTTTTACCTGAAGATCTTAAATCGTCAAGTTGGCGGTAAGACTGGTGAGAGTGGCGAGCACCGCACAAGCATTAATTTTGTAAGCAAACATCACGCGCTGATCGCTTATGTTTCAAATAACATAAGCGATCGACGTGGCATCTCTCTCATATGATGTAAAACATTTGACGCTTCTTTAAATGTGTGATGTGTGTCCATCTTTTTAATGATATTAAAGTATTCTATACTTGTCCTATAATAATGCAGAATCGTGCTCTCTAGAACAATAAGGATCATTCTCACTGCATGAGATTTTTTTAAATGTGAATGAAAACCAGATTGGGTGGAAAATATTTACCCGCGAAAAACTCGTCAATCAGCTTCTCGTTAGCACTGCGACTTTTCTAAATACATTGAAAATGGTCCTGGCCAAGTTTGCGAAAGCGCAGGAATAACACCAGATTTTGGCTTATATAGTAGGTCTCTGGCTACCGATAATGCACATAGATTGTCAAACACAAAAATATCGCGAAAATTATTAATAACTATCAAAAAACGATAATACCGCAAACACTATCGATAACATAAAATATCCGAAAGCTAATAGTGTTCATACATAACGATAATTATTGAATACGATATTATTTGCGAGTGTTTATAAATTTTATGTGTGTAACGGAAATATTTATCAATTTAGAAATAATGCAAATGAGTTATCGCGATATATTATTCAATATAGCGTTAAATCTATAAATTGTTAAATCCATAAATTGTTAAATATAGATATTTTAGTTATGCTTTGTCATATTAAAATTAGGTAGTTATCGGATAGAGGGACCAACGTTCTTGTTGACTAC